ATTTCAATTATATTCCAGATATTTACCAATATTTTATTAAATGTAATATATATATTACTTTCAAATCAAAGTATCAACGTTACATGCAAATTTTATAATTGAAAATATATCGATATTATTTGAAGCCTTCAAATAATAATATTTATTTATTAAATAATGATTATTCATCATCATAAATATCATCAAAGTATTCATTTGAATCAACTTGATTTCACACCCAAATTGGAAGATTTTTTGGTTTTGCAGGAATTAACGATTGCAGATTAGTCCACCTTGGATCATCTGTTTTAATAATTTCGTGTGGCATAGGAGTGGTGTAAGAATGACAGCCTCCAGAATTTAACTTTTCTACTCAAGTTCGCTTGATTACATCATCTGCAAGGTTACAAATACGAATTCCTTATAATGATAAAAAGTATTAGTCATTTTTATATTTATTATATAAATAATGAATTAAATTTAGTGTTAACTCATCACTTATCCAAGGAAGAACTGGTACTAATAACTTCTTTCTAGATTCAAATTCAGATATATGACTTGATCATTCGATGAACTAACCATTTCTTCAACATCAGATACTTCTGGAGATGTCACCTCAAAAGAGAATAATTTTTCAACTTCATCTTTAGGATGACTTAATTGTTCTTCAGGAATTTTATTTAAAGCAGCCAAACGATTAGATGATTTCTAATAAAAAAAAATAAATATGTATAATAATTCAATTGTATAATTGATGCAGCTTATTATAAGCAAGTGTATATGCATATGAAAATATTTATTTAGTTACTGTATCACATCGCTTGCGGCGTCTTGAGCATTGATCATTTAAAAGTTTCATAGCTAGCATAGTATTTCACTCTTTTTTTAAGGTTTTGAAGTATACTTCAGCAATTTCAGTAATCATGGCCTCATTCCATTTTTTATTTGTTTCTACAAAATAATTTAAAAGATGTTAAATATTAATATATTCATATAACCTTTTTAAACAATTATTGAAAAATGTATATGTGTTTCTTCAAATTGAACATTAAACTCTTCGATAAAAAGATCCACATAATTTTGTGTAATTTTTTTGTTTTTTCAATTTTTAGGGCCAAGATCAAAGTCATATACATAATGGTTATTAGATATTTGAGGTTCGAAATCATCAAATCTATTAAAATAGCGCATTTTATCATGAATCTTTGCAGTAAGTATAGGATTTGCTGTGGCAATAGCACATGAAGAATTATTTGTGGTATTTAAAATATTATTAATATTATTATCCCAATTTTGAATATAGGGTAATATACTATCCATAGTAGTTTGAAGTACTGAAGATGGTGTTGACAGATTTTCTAATATAGTTGTTGTAGATGTTAATGTTTCTTCAATACGTTGTATTTTAATTCCATGTTCATTACTAATACATTGCATTGAGGTAATAAATTTATTCTGATTTTGTTCGTAAATATCAAGTCGATGTTTTAAAGAATCAATAGAATTTTTTGTTGTTTCAAGTTGGTTCTTAATATCAGAAGTTAAAACAGATTTTACTTTATTTAAAACTTGTGTAAACTAGTAATATTTATTGAAAAAGTGTTTAAAGTAGCTTTGTTCGCTATGAAAAGGATTTTGTTAATTTAGAAAATGAAAATAAAAATATAATCAAATAAATATTATTTAAAGCTGACATAATGGTCTAATATCAAAGATTTAATCAGTATTTGAGTACATACAATTAGAAATTCTAACCTGATTTAACTATACTCACGTAAAATTAGCAAAACTTTACCATAAATTCTGAGTTTTTCAAAAGAAACATGTCATGTTTTGTGCTGATAAAATGATTTGCTGACTTCAAAAATCTAATAATCTATAATTCACATTAAAATTTAAAATTTTGCTGAATTTTATATAATATAAAAAAATAT